CCGAGCGCTGCTAGCCGGCCGAGGCTCCTATCACAATCCGGCAGAGCGGTGTGGGCAGAGACAGCCCGCACTGTCACAGGAGGCTGAGCTCTCCTCTCTGCACCGCTCGCTCAGCCTCCAGCGTGTCAGAGAGGAGAGCCAATGCAAACACTCAGTGATCTGTGATCGCTGAGTGTTTGTACAAAATCTAGGCTATAGCATGTTGACTATATCCTCAATTATGAATGAATGAGAAACCATCTACATATATATAATCATGCATATATATTCAGTTTAAAAATGTATAAGTGTAAAAGAACATTTTAAAAAAGGTTTTCATTTTTATTAATATAACAAATTATTGTGACTTTCATTAGTATTGGGCATGGTGCTTAGAGCAGTTGTGGGTAAATTTTGTTCTCCAATTTTTCCACAGATCATCCCTTTCCGTGTGTCAGCATTAACAGGTTAATTCCTCCAATGTCAGAAGCTGTCAGATGTATACCTGACCCAACAGCACCCCATAATATATGCATGTTTAACATAAATACAGCATATAGACTGCTGCTCATGTTTGAATTGGTATGTTAAATAAAATACTGTGAGACATATACTTACAGCCAATCTTCATAATATACCATCTGATTCACCTGCAGTGAATGTTTGGGAAATATCACATTCACAACCTTTTAAATATGCTCCTTAATGTGCATAGTGTGATCCGTAAATGCTAACAAATGTGTACCCATTTTTTTTTTTCAGTGGCGGGGGAAAAAAAGTGTGCAATTTTATTTACACATTAAAAAAACTTATTTTTCCAAGTGCAAATTTGATTTTTGTTCCAATTGGGTACTATTTCCTAACGTATTCTTTATTTTAATGCCATTCACAAACTGTAAAAGTGTGGCATCTCGTTATATCTCATATAGAAATTTAAACTGAAAAGACCACAAGACCTTTATTAGAAATACTCCAGTACACATACTATTATGCTTAGGAAAGTTTGCATGTGAACAATAGTTTAATAAGTCATGTTTATTTTCTGTAACCAGTGTAAAAAGTAGAACAGCTTCATTGAATTTTTAAACACTCCAGTAATCCTTGTAATTCTTACAACCAATTCTGTATTAGTATCCTAGTTTTTTTGTACTTTATTTCATATTAATGATGGCTTGAGCAGACTTTGATATTTTCTTTACTTAGTGAGTACACACCCTTTGCAGAAATTGTGACAGGTTAACCACTGCTGTGTTTTTGTAAATCTATGGGGTTGATTTACTAACCTTATAAACACACCACGAACATGTATACACCTCTGTAGTGTGTTCCCTCCCAGCATGATCTATGGGTGGAATCTAAACACCTTTGTAGTGTGTACACACCCAGCAGGGGTGTTGTGCAAAGCCCTGCATGAATTACAAGGTGATGTTGTGTAAATTAGCTCTATGTTGTGTTGCTTGCGTTGATGAATGCAGGAATTTAAATGCATGAGCTAACCATTTTTGTCTAAACTGTGAAGCAGCATTATATATGCATCATGTGCATGATTTTTCTTTTTGGTTGATAAATACGTTTTGCTGTGTGAAAATCACACGCACCT